TGACCGTCAATTGAGAAATAGAACTTTGTCATTGCACTTTTATTTCATGAGGGAAGGGTTAATATAAACATAAAATATTAAAGAATATCACATGACAGCTCGAGAAATGCATCTTTCTACCTGGAGTTAATAACCCTTAGACGGTAACTCTTTCCGGTCTCTAAGTAGAATTTTTCAATTGACCCATTACAATTTAAAATACCTTTTCCGTTGATTAATGTGCTACGTGGGATTGGCTTAAATTTGTGAAGAGGAAATTTCAAGCGATATAGTAATTGCATGATTTCATTTCATGAACTCCTAACTTTTTTTCGGACACGTACCTCGTCAACGTTTTCGGAAATATACTTTTTTAACAACTCTCCGCCTTGCTCATGATACCAATCTGACAGCAAGATAATCTTTTCGTATTCATACTTATGTATCTCTTCCTCCTTGGAGTCCATCACCACCAGCGCACCATAAAGTCCATCGATCCTTTGAGTCTCGTATGCTGCATAACTATAGGGATATATTTTTTTCGAACCGGAAATAAATTCAATGATTCTCCTATCTGGTATACAATATTCCTACGAACCAGAAACATATACTCACTACCAATAAGTGCCGCTCTCCGACACAATAAATTCATACACAAACCACTTTCCATCCTCAAGAGGACACTGAGTGACATACGGTATACCATCCATAAATGGTGTTTTCCACTGATCTATCCCATGTACATGAATGCTTGTTGGAACTCCTAAAAAATTTGTCACGTTAATATTCACGGTGTCCCCTTTGTTCACTATTATCGAAGGGCCGGGAAAATGATGATTGATTGTCAAGACATTGCGACTGTTTCCATCAGGAGAAAGGGTCTCATTCCTTAGAACCAACGAGAAATATTTAGTTTCCGAGACTTTTGTGGCAGCAGGTAAAGGGGCTGTTGTTGAAGGAGATGCGTTTATTGGTAACGTAGGAGTTGATTGCTGCGCGGAGATAGCGGTCACTTGAGAATGATCTATAATCTCATGCCCATCATGATCTTTCGGTGAATCTTCCGAAGAATTTGTTTTGTCGTATAAGTAATTGTGAAATGGAATGTTGTGTGTTCGAGACCACGGAATTTCAAATATTGAATCTGCGGTATAATTCATTAACACGGCGAGTAACAGAATGCTTGATATTCCTAATAAAACTATGCATCCTAGGAATATGACATCATATCTTCGTGTATTTGAAAGGATTTTCATTTTTACAGTACTCAAATTCTAAGTATATTAATTTACAGCAGATTTAATAAAACGTTTGAGGAAAGATCATTCACACCAAGTCAAAAGATCATGAAAATACTTCGTGCAATGAAATTTCGAAAGACACGAAAGATGAGAAGGCGATTATCTAATTGGACATTAATTTGCTCGGTTTCGAAAAAACTTTGATGTCTACAAATTTGAGGCTTTGCTCAAACTCGTTATTTCGTGGGATCATACATTAATACAGTAAATCAATATACACCATCAACATTCTCCGTTTCCGCGTGGCAATGCAAAGATCTTCGCACTGCCACGTTAACGTATATAAACGAACATCAGAAATAATCGGCGCGATTTTAGCTGCAGTCTGTTTGGTTTGAGCGACTAGACTTTAATAATCAAATAACCAAATACGGTTTGAGCAAATTACGTAACGTCATGTCCTTTTTAACGACCGGTGAGTTAAAAAAATTCTTTACTCACTGTTGTAATTCAATGGCAAATTACGTACAGAAATTTGTATAAAATTTTCAAGAATGTGTATTTAATTAAATTAAATCATCCGAGTATCATAGAATTACATACACATATAAGATACTTTCATGGTTCCCGAAAGCGAAAAAATTAATTCTCATGAAGTCATAATTTAGTAAGGCCAATATGTAGAGTGTGCATATAAAGTACATCTTTTCTCCTCCTTCACAATGAATCTTCTTACGTTTACCAGGAAAAAAAATATGGCCATTGCCCAAGAACATCCTGTACAATCTATTTTACTTACCTTACTTGCCAATTTTCTTTTATTCTATATTTTTATTATTATAAATCTTTACCTCTTTTTTCAAGAATTTTTAGAAATTCATCAAACAACAAATAAAGACATCACCACCCAAAAACATTCCATGCTATCTTTTCATTTTTTATCTTTTACGTTCAGCAGCAGCAGCCAAGAACGTCCTGTGCAAAATATACGCCCTAATTATTATAATTATTATTTTATTACTTTTAATTCACTGTTCATAATTATATTCCTTGTTGTAAATTTTTTCTTCTATGATAAAATTTTATCCTTTTATCAAAGAAATAATTACTTCGACCAAGAACGTTCCGTATTATCTTTTATCTTATATTCCATCTTTATTTTATCTTACTTTATTTTATTGTTGCTACTATTCCATACTGCAAATTATTTTATATTTACGTAATCATTTTGTTGATCAACAACAGGCATCCCATTGGGTCGAAAGTCGCGAAGGTCAAATTCCGGAGGGTGCGTGGTATGTCGGTGAAAACGCTGGTGGTCGTGGATGGTACGATGAGGGTTTGCACGTGGGCTACGTCGTGCCTGGGAGGGGATTGATGATTGGTTATGGTGGTAACGAAGTTAATTTGAGGCAATATGAGGTTCTTAGAGGTGATCCGGCTCAATATCGTTGGATTGGATGGTGGGTATTCGTTGGTATTCGTTGTTTTCGCATTGATCATGTGTCCGTTGATAACATTTTTGCACAAATACCCACCGATCTAGTCAAGGTCCTTGCAATCCACGATATTTCGTTCCCTTATATGGTGGTCACGAAGCTGTAAGTAAATAATCAATTGATTATGATCAAAGAGATTTCTAAACTGTTGGTGATCTACAGGATGGTCGCGAGTTATACATTGCCAAGGGATGGTACAACGGCCGTGAGGTCACCGGAAAAGCCGGTCCTGTAAGTCATGTGCTGACTCTATGCTCGTTAGATGTTGTTTTCTATTACTGTCATCATTAACCTTCCGTAAAACAGCACTTGGAAGAAGGAATGTCCTTCGGAATTGACGGTCAAGAGAATTCACTCCAAGATTATCAAGTATTGGCACTATTGGGATGACTTTTTTGTTGCTCTTTTGATATGCAAAGTTGCAAGTCATTAATTCAAACGTGTATATTAAATTAAAATCACAATTAGATTGATAACACTCAAAAAGAACATGTAATATTAATCGAATATGCTATTAATGACGTCTCGTTTTTTTAAAAAAAAATTTCCTTTTTTACCTTTTTTACTGTAATAAATACAAACACAATGTGATGCGCGATTACGTAATTATACTTGATTTACCTCACTCGGATCTTCACAAATCACTCAAAACTAAATGATGCGGAAAGAATTCTACACCACTTTGTCACAAGACTTCTCTCAACTTCTCGAGGATGCCGATGACTATAACGTTATTATTAAAGTTGGGGAAAATGCCAATACTCGAAATTTTTTTGCTCATTCTGCGATATTAAGGGCACGTTCGCCTTACTTCAAAAGAGCGCTTTCTGATCAATGGACCGTCAAGAAAGATGGAATAATTTCATTTACTAAATCGAACATTTCCCCGACCGTTTTTTCTTTAATTCTTAAGTAAGCCATATTGACCTTACCAAGAATATAAGGTTTTTTTTTAAGTAAATTAATATCACATGTTATAATTAGGTATATCTATTCCGGAATTCTCGACCTGACGGAAGTCCCTGGAACTGATTGTCTTGACCTTCTGGTCGCATCAGATGAATTACTTCTCGGGGAATTAATCGAACATATTCAGGATCACTTTATCGAACGAGAT